GGACAATACCACTGGGCTGAGCTCCCCCACTCCCTGAGGGACTTACTCACTCCTCACGTTCCCAGACCCACCCCCTGCTCAGGATGGCACTACCGCCCACCAGCCCTCTCCCCTCAGACACTTCGACGCTCTCCTCCCTCGACTCCAGACCCACATTCTTGCAGCCCCTCCAGAGCAGTCTCTCCACATTTCACCACCACACCAGGCCTTTCCAAAGTGGACTGTGAGGACTGGCCACCGCTCCAGTCTCCCAGGCCCTGGGGAGCACCCACAACTCCTCTCTGGCTGGGTGTTCAGTCTTCCCACTAAAAACAGGCACTCCCCACAGCAGCCCCCAGCACTTACTGAGAACCCAAGCTCTGCCTGGCTTTGTGGTCGGCTCATGGTCGGCTGGAGTAGGGACTGGCACGGGCCAAGTATTGAACTTGCGAAGCCTGTGCAGAGGAAGGCACGGCCCTCAATGCCTGACTCCCCCTCAGAGCGCCTAGGAAGCCTTTCCAGATAGGTGACCCTGGAGCTGAGGCTCAAAGGTGAATTAACTACCCCAGAGAAGACAAAGAAGGATGTGGCAGTCAGTTGAGAGCAAGGGTGGCAAGACAAGGAGGGGATCAGAGGATCTGGGGCCTGGAGGGGGCAGCAAGCTGAGCTGGGAGCCCGGCAGGGCAATAGGAAGCTCAAGAGGGGCAAGAGTTGCTGTGGGTGGCAGGGAGCAGGGCACAGGGCAGGGGCTTCGCCTGGTGCCCTTGAACCACGCAGCAGTTCTCAGCCCACACAGAAAAAGACTTGGTGGGCACAAAGGTAGAGCCTGGGGAAAGAGGCTGGTCCCTGAGAGGCAGAGGATGTGGAGCAAGGCTCCTGGAAAGGCAGCTATGCCACCGGCACGGCTCAGAGGAGGCTCCTGGTGGATGACCCACGGCTTGAGGTCCCCAGCCAAGAGGTCCCAGAATCTCAGCCTTCCAGCACTGGAGGAATGACATGGGGTGGGGGGTAGTTATCTTTACTTCACTTCAAGTTAGATCTTTTTCCAAGTGCCTGATACTCTGCCAAATCTTTTTCTAATAGGCGTGAGTTTCCTTCAGGAGCAGAAACACAAAAGAATGAAGCCCTAATGGTAGAATCTGAGGCACCCACAGCTACTGAATTGCAGATTTTGGAGAAGGGGCTGGGAGAAGGCTTCTATTCCATTTGGGAAAATGAGATTGGCTTCCTTGTTGGGAGGCAGGACTCCAGGGTTCCCACTGGGAAGATGAGCCGCCTTAACCCTTAAGAGCCTGGCTCCCAGAGCAGGGCTGGAGACAGGAGTCTCCCTCTCAGCTCTTCCACCCTCAGCTGCCCACGTGGTCCTGACTTCCAGGACTCTGGAAACCTCCGGCAACGCGACGCGGTTGGGGGAGGAGACAGAGTCCATTCACCTCGTCTGAGTGGATGAAACCCTAGATGAAATCGGGCTGGTGTGGCCTCGGCCACGGGCCAAGCACGGGGCCCGGGCAAGAATGGCAACTCATTGCCTCCGGCCCCTGAAGCAGGATCTTAAGGGAGCGGGGACAGCCGGGCTCTCGGTCACCCACGGCACAATCGAAGCACCTCCTGGATTTCTGTACTGGGGGGTGGTGCTTTTGGTTGGGGGCCGGGAGCCTTCCGTTTTTCCCTAGCTTCAGGTGTTTACCTCGGATGGGGGGAGGGTGCAGCTAACAGACAACTGGGGGGGTATTAGGCAGCCCCTCGAGCCATGTCGTCGGAAGCCAGTTTTAGGGAAAGCCTGGGACTAAAGATCGAGGGAACCGCCGCGCCCCCGGGGGGCGTGGCTCCGCAAGTACCTCGGGGGCGGGGCCACGACGCCTCGCATCAGGGGGCGTGCCCAGCACGCATTGGGGAGCGGGCGCGGCCTGGAGGAGGGAAGGGGGGTGGTCCGCCCCCACGGAGCCATCCCGGGAGGGGGCGGGGCACCACGCCGTTCTGGCCCTGGCGCGGGTGTGAGCGGTGAGGGGCCGCTGCCTCCCGCTTGGCTGGTGACGCTAGCGAGGGCCCTGGGGCGCGAACTCTCACAAGCCGTGAGGTCTCCACAAAGGACCAGACCTCGGTTTTCTCCTGAGGAAAAGTGGGGTCTCGTCCTCCCGCCCTCCCCAGGGGCGGGGCAGTGGGCGGGAGGGGCTTCAGCGATCCCATCCCCTCGACCTCGGCCAAAGGGGGCGTCGCGTGTTGCGGGAGAAAAGGCCCGCGGGGTCTGACCGCGGCCGGGCGCGGGCTCTCCTTTGGCAGGGGTTTGCTAGCTGAGACGCAGTACGAGTCCGCTTACTGCGCCGCTCAGGGAAAACGAGGCTCCCTTGCCCCCAGAAGCCCCGCCGACGTGGCTCTCGGGTATCTTCCGCGAACCTGCTCTGCATGCACTTGAGAATGTGGGCGTGCCGCATGTCTTTAACCGCCCCCCCCACCCCACCCCCCGCCACACACGAAAAAGAATAAGGTTTCATTTGCTTCTTCCACAAAACCGAGAGTCGCGACCGCCTTCCCGAACCTCGGGACACAGGCCTCGCATCATCTTTGGCGCCCTCCAGGGTCCCGGGGCCAGGCGGTCGCTCAAGGCGCGTCCTACTTTCACTGAGGCGACAGCGAAACAATGCTCGCTTCCCCGCGCGCAGGAAAGGGATGGCGGGCACAGGCGGGGGTCCCCGGCCGGGTCGGGGCTCCAGCCCTCGGCTCCCAGCACCCGCAGCGCGGGACGGCACCCTTGCGGAGACTTGGGGCCTACGTGCGTCGCGACACGGCGCGGGGCGGGCCGCGGTCGGGGACGTCCCCTCTGCTCTCCCGGAACCAGTCTCCTCACTGCGGTCTCCCGGACCGGAGCGGCAAAGGCGGGTCCTCCAGAGCCTTCGAGTCGGGGGCTAGAGCGACCAGGCCACAGAGCGAGGTCGAGCGAGGACTGGCGACAGCTGCGTCACGCGAGGGGCGGGGCCGCCGCGGGCGGAGGCTGGAGCCGGAAGCGGAAGAGGCTCTCGGAGCGGGGAGTGGGGCCTAGCCGCAGCCGGATCCTGGGAGACGGTGAGTGTGGGCCCAGGCCCGCGGCGGCGGCGGCGGCGGCGGCGGCGGCGGCGGCGGCGGCGGCGGCGGCGGCGGCGGCGGCGGCGGCGGCGGCGGCGGCGGCGGCGGCGGCGGCGGCGGCGGCGGCGGCGGCGGCGGCGGCGGCGGCGGCGGCGGCGGCGGCGGCGGCGGCGGCGGCGGCGGGTGAGTTTGTGAAGCTGGCGTTCCGGCTGCAGGTCCCCCAGCTCCCGGTCCGGGCTCGGCCTACTCTTTCTTTCTCCTCCTCGGCCCGCCTCTGGCCGCGGCCCCGACCTCTCACCCCTGACCCGCCGCTTCTCCCCCGGAGGGGCGGTCACCACAGACCCCAGCCTCTCGATCCCGCGGTGTCGTAGTCTGAGCGGCCTCTGAGGCTCCTGCAGTGATCCAGTTTCGGGCCTGCACCTCCCGCGGAATGGGGTCGGGGTCCTACCTGGGAGAGAGCCTGGAGAGGCCTTCAGACCCCTTCCGTACCCTTGGCTCGAGGCTGGGTCTGCAGACTCCTCCTCCCCGCGCGGCCCGGAGTTTGATTCTGGCTCAAGCTGGCGATCCGCCTGCCGCCTGCCCCCGGAGTCTCCCCTGGCCGCCACTGGCGGCGGTTATGGGGGAAGGGGCTCAGATCTCTGAGCCCCAGGGCGCGTCTGGAAGGGACGCGAGCTAGAGCAGCAGGCCTCCAACGCGTTTTGTTGTGATGATGGAGCCGCTCCAGCCCGGGGGAGGGGCCGGGCCAAGTTGACAGTACAAATGCCCGCGCTGCTCCCCGGTCCGGGAGTCCCTGTGAGCTTTAGTTCCGGGTGCGGGTTCCCTGGTGTGGAGTTCCCTAAGCCAGGCCTCCGTCGAGGCGGAGTTGGCGATCTTCCAGCTTCCCTCCTCCATGCCCTTGAAAAGGAGGAGCGTTTCACCCGGTGGCGGCAGCTTGTAAGGTGGCAGGTTTGAGGTTGCAGCGGTGGGGCAGCGTCAGCCAAAAATAACCATGGGGCGCTGGAGTGACTGGAACCGGGAGGGCAGACGCTGACCTGGCTGGCCGCTCTTCTTGTCAACCCAGTTCTCTGGCCAGGAACAGCAAATGAGAAGCCGACTAGGCCTGTGCTTAGAGAAAAGCTGGCATCCTTGGCCTGGTTTCCTTTACATTATCACTTTCTTTCTTTGTGTAAGAGTAGAGCTTTCCTGAACATAATTGTGACCCCTGGCTTCTTTAAATAACCTATATGCTGGAGTCTCAGAGAATCAGAGGTAATTGATGAGAAATGGGAACTAGAGTCCTGGCTAGGAATATAACGAGGGATAGCTGATATTCCCGATATTTCACGTGCTTAGGATGTGCTAAAGGAGAGGTTATCTTCCCTACGATTACTTTATGTGGTACTTCATAGCTCTCATACTTGTCATCTTCTTTGCCAAGTTGTCCGGGAGGTGTTACCTCTGATTTTCAGGTACGGTAACCAAGGCCTAGAGTGACTTGTGTAAGGTCACAAGGGCAGTAAGTGGCAGCACCGGGATTTAGTTCAGGATTTTCTGCCCAGAGCTCTCTCTCCCTTTGGAAAGATCTTAGGGGGAAAAAAAAATATCCCTCATGCCCTAAGGCATTTAACATAGACCCAGAGGTGTTAACCTTGAACTTTTTTAATGGGGGCGGGGGTTGACTTCTGTTAAGCATTTGACCCCAATGCATGTGCTAGGATGTTAAGAAGTGGCTTAATTTAATCCTCACAGAGCCCTGTAAGAAATTACTATCCCTTTGTTGCAAGAGGAAGTTGAAGGTCAGAGTGGTTTATTAACTTGCTTAAAGGCACATAGCTAGAAGTGGCAGTGTTGGAATTGAGACTGACATCTGTCTGACTCTGAAGCTGTGCTCAGCCCACCAACATGAACATGTGCGGACGTAAGAACCCTCTAGATCTCAGGAGGGAGTCTTTGGCGTGCACTGAGTCACATCCCCCGGCTCTGGTGCTTTGTCTGCCCAGCAGGGATGGACAGACCTCTGCCTGGCCACTGGAGCATCTTCCGCATCACTCAGTGAGGTGTGATATGCTGCCTTCATTCCATAACTTGGGCACCTGACCCAGGGTAATTGCAGGAAGACAGTGAAACATTGGTCAGCTGATCAAAACAGAACAGCAGTTTAAGCCCCAGGGGAAGCTGTTGGTAATTTTACATAGTATTTACCTCCGAGAGTTGCTGCTCCCTGGGCTGCCAGGTACAAAGGGGAAGAAACCTGCTGGTGGGGAGAGGGAGAGCAGTGACTTACTTGGGATCAGGGAGAAGCTCCTAAAGCTTGGCTTTAATCAGATACGCCTTGCTGCCCTGCTCATCCGAGGGGAGCGGTTGCGTTTGGCTCTCCTGACAGACCCTTCTCAGGGGACAGGGCGGCCGCAGGGGGTTTGTCCAAAGGTACTGAGTCAGGCAAGCCCAGGGACTGACCACCATGGAGGCTGGTAAAGGGCTGGGAGGAAGGCTGGCCTCGGTCTCTGGCCCGGATTTCCGATGGCGCCAGTGTGGAGGTTTTGGGTGTGGGTGGAACAGGGAGCTGGCCTCCCACAGCCCTCTTCCTCAGCTGGTGTCTGATCCAGCCTGGCAGTTTCCTGTGGTGGAGTTAAGGCCCTGCTGAGCAGGGATAGCGAGGTGGGGCCCTTTTGGCCTGCGGCTCCAAGCCCACAGGCTTGCCAGACACTCAGCCCTCCGGCTCCTCCTGAGATGAGCACAGGAGTAGGCCCTGGAACAGGGATCTGGGAGGGGGCAGCAGCGGTACAGTTAGAGAGGAGGCACTGCCCGGCATGGCACCACAGGTGGTCAGAGGGGCCTTGGGCAAGAAACTTGGATGCCCTGAGGATGCTGGCATCGGTTTCCTGGTGCTCAGAGTGTGGAGCAGCAGCGGGGGCTGGACAGACCTCCGTGGCTGCTTGGCCAGACCCTCAGGTGGGCTGGGGCATGGTGGAGAGCCCCTGCACGCCCCCTTCTCCAAGGGCGGGCCTTCTTGTCTCTGCCCACGGCTGCTCACCCTGGTGTGTGGCCTTTGCTCCCTTTAGCCGGGTCCAGTTCAGGGCTTCAGCCAGGCAACGCGGCTTCAAACTTGAAGGCTTTCACCCTTTGCACCTGTGTGTTGGCTTCCTGCCAACAGCCTTTTGACCCTGGTCTCTGGCTTGACAGACCAGTGGCTTTGTACAGCCCCACAGACAGGCAGAAACTGAACCCAGGAGGCTCTCCTTCCTCCTTGGCCTTGGTCTCCTGTGACGGTGCTCACCGGCACCCCCCACACCCTACCCCCCAATCCCCATTCTGTCTCAGCACCTGTACTGGCTCAGCTTGGTGCCACAAGTGCCCAGGCCACCGCCACCAAGCCGGGGAGGCAGCTGTCTGTTTTGTTCCTGGCAGAGAAGGGTGTTGCCCATTGTATGCTGTTTGACCAGTGTGACCTCAGAGTTCTTCTTCACTTCATAAACCCCTGGGAGGGGCTGCCCCCACACAGAACAGTGGGCCTCTTCAGGAGCGCCTGGGCTGTGCCAGCAGCCCCGTGGCCCGAGGTGGCCAGCTGCGCCTTTAGCAGGGCTCTCTGTTCCTCGTGGCCTAGATGCATCACTGTAAGCGATACCGCTCCCCTGAGCCAGACCCGTACCTGAGCTACCGATGGAAGAGGAGGAGGTCTTACAGTCGGGAGCACGAAGGGAGACTGCGGTATCCGTCTCGAAGGGAGCCTCCGCCCCGGAGATCTCGGTCCAGAAGGTAACAAGGGATTAGGCGGGAAGACAGGGCTCCTTCCCTCACTGGGGTCAGGGAGACGACCTGGAGGCGCACGGCGGCCCTGGGCTCTGTCAGCTGCCTGCCGCCTCTGTCCCACGGCACCTCGCTCGCTGCCCCGTCCTCCCCTGATCTCCTGCCTTTCTGGGCCTCTGTATTCACTGCCATCCATGCTGCCCCTTTCTCTGTCCTTGGGTCTTTTTTCTCCAGACACGTTCCCCCATTTTCTAGGCCAGCATCTTCCCTGCTGAGCCTTTCTCGAAGGGGGTTAGAAACACAGCCTATGTCCTTGCTGGAGGTTGGTCCCTGGCCCTGTCTTAATGGCCACAGGGAATTCTGGGGCACTGGGAGCCCCCGAAGCCCTTCACCCTGCTCGCCTGTGCTGGAGTGTTGCTGCCATCAGCCAAGGTTCTGGAGGCTGGACTTGACCTCTCTCCCCCCGCCCCTCAGCTCCTGCGGGCTGCCCTTGTGAGCTCTCTGCAGGGGTCTCCCCACACGCCTTCTGCCCAGAAGCCGAAAGCTGGCTGGTGGGAAGAAGGTCCCCGTCTTACCAGTGTCCTCACCCCCCTCCTGGCAGCCATGACCGCCTGCCCTACCAGAGAAGATACCGGGAGCGCCGCGACAGTGACACGTACCGGTGTGAAGAGCGGAGCCCGTCCTTCGTAGAGGACTGCTATGGATCTTCCCGTTCCCATCATCGCCGGCGGTCACGGGAGAGGGAGCCGTACCGGACCCGCAAACACGCCCACCACTGCCACAAACGCCGCACCAGGTCTTGTAGCAGCGCCTCCTCGGTGAGTGGTGGCCAGAGTGTGCCGGCTGGGGCTCAAAGGCCTCATCTCTTTCTAGCCTTCTCTCAGGCTGGCTGGTGTGGGTGAGTACTGCCAGCCCCGCGCACGCGCATTTGGTGTGCGTGCGTGTGCTTGTGTGTGTGTGTCGTCTGGTCGAGGTGCAGGGCTGAGCAGCAGCCCCGGCGCCTCTGTCTACTGGCCCATTGGCATGGGCAGCAATAGGAGCTCTGGTTCCGGCGCTGGCTGGCCCCCCGGCCTGTCTATGTCTCTGCACGGCTCCCAGGCACAGGCCACATGGTGCAAGTGGCCGAGGACACACAGGAAACCTGATAGTGTTGCTGGTATGTGGTCTGGAGCCATATAACCTGGTCCTTCCCACCAAACAATTGCCTGCACTCACAGCCTCGAGTTCTGATTGCTGTGGACAGCACCTATCTCTGCGGTCTCATCTCCACACCCCTCCCCAGGGGCTGGAGGCTGGAGTACCCGCGGGTAGGGGAGGTCTGCCTGTCAGCTCAGACCCGGAGCGTCCCCTCCAACCTCCAGCCAGGCCCTCTTCGCCTCGCCTCTTCCTGTGAGAGGCAGACAGGACGAGGCTGGACCAGCTGCCTGTGTGATCGCACACACGAGGAGACGGCAGAAAGGCCCGCAGCCCCAGGCCCTGTCTGCTCGCAAGGCTGCCGGCCAAGAGCAGGGTCTGGCGGTGTTCTTAGCGTGGCGGTTGCATAGCTCTCTGCCGAGACCAGGAGCCCCCGCTGCACTCGGGCCTCTGGAAGGCAGGCCACTCGTGTCTCTCAGGTTACGTGCCGTCTTTTCTTCTCCTCCCCATCCCTTTTCCCCCCTGCCCCGCCGGCTGAGGCCCCTGAGGAGTAGTGGCGGAGGACAGGGAGCCAGGCATCTTCTCCGCGCAGCTTTCCTGCGACTTCCTTGAGTGGCCACGGGTTTGAGGGTTGACTGTGGGTGCCCAGCGTGGCCTGGCGGCCCCCCTGCACCCTGCCACACGTTGCTGCAGATGGCGGCTTGGGTCTGTGGCTCTGCTGCTTCTCTTTTTGGTGCCCTCTGTCGTCACGAGGCTCAGGATGGCCTGGCCTGTGAGTATCATGGGTGCCAGGGCAGGAACTGGCTTGGGGCCCGTGTGGGCCATGGTGGTAGGTGGCCGACGGGCCCAGAGGATCCTGGGCTCCTTCCCTGCTCGAGGCTGGTGGCACAAGGGCTGCTGATGGAAGGCCGTTTCTGGTGGCGATGCGAAGTCTGGCCGTGGATGCCGTCTGGGGGCAGGTAGCAGCTTGGCTCTGAGTGGCAGCTGTCGGCACGCGCAGGGCTGCGTGTGCGAGCAGAGGCAGGCCAGGACGGGCTGGGCATTCTGCGGCTGCCACCAGGGTGGCCCCTGGCCATTCTGGACGATCGGACCCGGGCTCTGCCAGCCACCTTCTTGCGCCGTTCTCGCCGCGTCTTCGCCCCGCCTGGAGCCATCACGGGAGGGCCCGGGAGGGGGACGCTCAGAGGAGAAGGGAGTCGGGGCTGTGGCTCTCTGCGTGGCCTGGCCCCTCAGCAGCTGGTCGTCTTTCCGAGCGTTTGCGGCGCCCTTCTCTTAGATAATGTCCGAGTTTTCTTTACATACCTGTAGCTGTTTTTACTTTTCTGTTTTTGAAGTCAGTTTGTGTCTTGACGTGTCCCTTGCAATATCCCTATCGTTATATATGCTGTGTGCCTTATGAAATGCTGGGATCTGGAAAATCCAACCAACCAACCCACCGGCTCCTCACCGTCTCCAACCTCTGCCTTTGACTGACACCTCAATCTGTCAATCGGAACCGCCTACCATGCGATTGGTCGGATGGCGTTTCGGGGGGCGGTGCATGCAGAGAAGCCAACAGAGCAGTAAGCGCAGCAGCCGGAGTGTGGAAGATGACAAGGAGGGCCACCTGGTGTGCCGGATCGGCGATTGGCTCCAAGAGCGATGTACAGCCACCTTTCGTAAAACTTTACCTCTCTACTTTCTACCCCCCTTGTTAGACGAGACCTCTCCTGCCCGGAGGGGCCTCTATTGCGCGTGGCGCCTTAGTGGGGCCACCAGTAAATTGCCTGAATGACACAGACACTAGCAACTTCCGTTTTTAAGAGTGTAGCAGTGAGAGAGAAACCTTTTTTGTTTTGAAAATTTGAATGCTGTGAACTTGCAGGAGCCGCCGACCCTCTGCCCTCCAGACCCTCACGCCCTGCGTCTTTTCTCTCCTAGATGAGATCGTGGGGAACCTGGGCGAAGGCACCTTTGGCAAGGTGGTGGAGTGCCTGGACCACGCCAGGTGAGCCATCCTCCTGGGAGGAGCTGGCCTGGGCTTCCCGAGGGTGGCGGCAATCCGTTTATCCTTTTGCTTTTCAAAAAGCGTAGCAGGGTGCTGGCCGGCACGTGCTGGGTTCTGCCGAGCCCCGGAAATCGGGAGAAGTTCCTGGGGTTCCACAGGCACGTGCATCCCTGCCCAGGCAGTGCTGGCCAGTGAGTGGGGCTGCCCTCGTTGCCCTGTGTCCCTCAGGCCGTGGTGGTGGGTGTCGGAGCAGGGCCAAGGCCCTGGCCCTTAACGTGGTCTGGGTCACTTCCTGCGCTCTTTAGGGCTCGGGCCTGGCAGGGGGACGAGAGTAGCGCTGTGCCCAGACCAAGCAGGAGCCCCCACCCTCGGAGGGCGGCCTGAGAGGCTGTGCACGTCCCAGCTCAGAAACGAGACCTGGGCTCTCTCACGTTGCAGGCCGTTGCCTCCACTGAGGTGGCTGGGGTGGATCGTGGGGCCCTCTGAGCATGCTCAGTTAGAATGGGGTTACGCCTGTGTGGGGGGGGTGCTTCTGGGCAACCGTGCCACCTTCCAGGCTGAATGGAGAAACACTTTTGTCCCCCTGCCGTTCCTGAGGGCCAGGACTCTTGCCTTAGGCTGCGAGGCCACCTCCCTGGAGCCCACTGCCTCCCTTGATGGCACTCCCGTTGGTTTGGGGCGTTAGCTATAGAGTGCTCTTGTCATGCTGTCTCACTGGAGCCACGTGCCACCTGTCACAACCCTTCCACTGTGTTAGAGGTGAAGAGATGCACTCGGGGTTTACCCGTACCCCCAGTTGTTGAGTGCTGGCACCGAGAACCACCGCCCGGGGTGCTCAGAAGGGACGGTTAGACCCAGCAGTCCAGCTAGCCCTGTCGTTCCCAACGAGATGGTGACAGTGACCGAGGGGAAACCTCCGTGGGTGCCCACTTCCTATTTAAACACCCCTCGGACCCAGCAGAGCCCAGAAGGTCGGGGCTGGGACCACCAGTGGACCTAGGGATGTGTAGACCACAGTGACCTGGGGCAGATCTGAGCGCTGTGGCTCTGTGAACAGCCAGTAGGAAGCTGAGCCAAGTCCCTCGCGGGCAGGCACAAGGCTCAAGAGACTTTCAGGGTCTCCAAAGGGTTTTGACGATGTGAGCTCCAGCTCCGCGAAGGGAAGGGCCTTATCCTCAGAGCCTCCAGCCCTGATGCTGGCTGCCTGTGGAGGTGAGGTGTTCCCTGTGTTGAAGACGAGAATGCCATTGAGGGGTCCTGTCCTTGGAGCCTGGGGCAGGGGTGGCTTTTTCTCTGAGGTCCTGCCCTGCTCTGAAAATCTGGGAAAATGGGATAGGGAGAGAAAAATCAGGATGTTCTCCAGAAGGTGCCTCTGCCCTAGGGCCTGGGAGACTTTCCTTAGGCACCATGGCCAGCCTCACAGGGCCATGTCCTTGTGGGCCAGGGCCGTGTCCCTCCAGTCCCCCACCAGGCCTCTGAAGTCTGGCTGTCCCTTCCTCGTAGCCGTTGGTC